CTGCCCTGGTCTAGCCCAAATTTTAAAGTGTCTATATTTTTAGTGTAAAAATTCAGTGTAAAAAAAATTAAAAAAAAATCTTTGTACCGACTCGGTCCGGACCAGTGCCCTGGCTCTGCCGATTTTATTACATGTATAAAATCTTTACACTATACACTACTCCGTATTTTATTACATGTATTATTGTTATTATATTATTATTATGAGTTATTTGATAACACTTAAATTTGATGATTCAACTCAATTAACAAAATAAAGGAAATATTCTCCGATTAAGCTATCTGATTAATTTATCATCCATCAATAAACTAGATACTTCACTTTGTATTATACGTAGTATTACATTATTATTATAATAGAAATTGCTCTAAATAGGAGCAAAAACATTTTGAAATTCCAAAATAGGAGTATCATGTTTTTTATTCCCTGAATAGGAGTAATCTACTAAATTTGGAAAAAATGCCATGTTTTAATGCCTAGTAATGCCAAACTTGGCAGAAATTTACTCCTTTTCAAGGAATAAAAAATATGATACTCCTATTTTGGATTTTCAAAACTTTTTTACTCCTACTTACGAATTCTCTCTTATTATAATTCATCTGATAACACTTAAATTTATCAAATGACTCATAATAATACACGTGATATAATACGAAGTATGGAGTACATTGTATAGTTTAGGGCAGATATTGCATTCACGTGGAATTCAAGTCGGCAGTGGTACCACAAATGAAACTAATGGTCTAATTCGTTAATATGGATTTGTCGTTTATTCATGATAAGCATCATGCACCTTTTTATTTTTTATTTCTCATTTTCTTAAAATTGTTAATAATTTTTTTTTGATCTGATTTTTATAAAATTTATATCAATTTTATTTTATTTTTCATGATCTTTCAAATGAGACTAATATTGCCTATGTAATTTTAATTTTTTACATTCATACCTTTTTTTGTAATATATTTTTATATGCACACTTTTTCTATAATACTCCATTTTTTATCACTTTTATATGTTTTTAGAGGTTTTTAAGATATTGAGTTTGTTTATTTTGCTTCTAGATTGGAGTTACATTTGATAATATACGAAGTTACATCATCTTATACTCCAGTTAGAAGTTATTATGTGTGAGTTACATCTTGTTATGTGTGAGTTACATCTTGCTATACACGAGTTACATACTTTTATGCGCGAGTTACATGTAATTATGTGTGAGTTACATCTTGTTATGTGTGACTTACATCTTGTTATACACGAGTTACATACTTTTATGCGCGAGTTACATGTAATTATGTGTGAGTTATATCTAATTATTTGTGATTTTTTACTTATCTTTATCATGAACTAATTCAATTATAACTGAATTAATTTTTTTCTTTGCCAATTTAATACAAAATTTTATTAATCCACATAAAATAAGTATATTGTATTTCATATTCACACACTATTTTTCAAATGATAAAAATGAAAGATGTAGCAGGAGTTTATTTCATGGTGTAACTCACATACATTAAGATGTAACTCGCGTATATTAAGATGTAACTCGCGTACAATAAGATGTAAATCACGCAGAAGAAGATGTAACTTCATGATATATTATCAAATGTAACTTCAAAATAATTTGTTAAAATTACATAAGCAATATTGGTCTCATTTGATAGATCATGAAAAATAAAAAAAAATGATATAAAATTTATAAAAATCGGATATCAAATAAATAAGTTATTACAATTTTTAACAATAATAAAAAAAAATAATGGATGCTGCGTCGTTTTGGGATCGGGCGCATCATCCTCATGCTGCGTCGTTTTGGGATCGGGCGCATCATCCTCATGCTGCGCCGATTCCAGGATATAAATTGCCTTGTTTCTTAGGGGAAACCATTCTCCAAAAGGTTTGTTCAACCTAAGGGACCTCCGGGTCACGATCTGAGAAGATTTTTTGGAAGTTGTAAGTTACGGTGACTCAATCGATTCAATGGTGAAGTATTTTTCATTCTTTATTAGGAAAAAAGTAAAAAAAAAAATCAGAGTTTGATTTTTTTTTTTGAAAGAAGAGTTTGAAAATAAAATGAAAGAAATTTAAAAATAATTTTTTGAATTTAATTTATAATATATTAATAAATAAAATATAGTCACAGTAGAATATGTGAACAACTCAAAAGGTCCAATATTGCAATTAAAACAAAACGGAGGTAGTAGAATTCAATTCGAGTCAAAACATTTTACCTCAAGGAATCGGCATTATTATAATTCAAGCTTTGAAGTAAGTAAATTTTGATATTACGGAGTACACGATTTCCTAATTTTGAAGAACAGTTTCATGCACTCAGGCATGAATGTTAGAAATTGTGTTAAAAATTGCATTAAATGTTCAACTTTGGGCAATATTTTGAGTGGAGTTCACTTTCGATTTGGGTCGGATAAAAGTGGTTTCAGATTGTCCTTGTTAAATGCTACAATTCGATATGTGGTACACTCAAAACGGATAACGGGCGAATGAGAAATTGATTCTCGAAGTTCACTAGTTGGAATGGAGAAAACTAAGAAAATGATGAGTTTCTAGTACTCCGTATGATATTTCCCACATTAGAAACCCTAAGGGATTTTCACCCTTATAAAGGGAACCCCCTTTGAAGAAGTTAAGATTCTTAGATGGAAAGGTTCTCTTCGCGCGCAGGGGGTGCCGATCAAATCCCAAAAACGGAGAAGAAAAACCGCGACTTGCGGGCGTCCTGCGGACACGAATGTCGTCCAAAAAGCTATCTTCTCATGATAAGATTAAATTTTTGTTTCTTCCCGTAACGTTCCTATTTTTGCTCTAGTTCCAGCCCCCGTTGGGAGGAGGTTGATGCTCCATGTTGAAGCGTTACAACAATAAATGTCCAACGTTCTTATGTCATTATACAGTGTTAAATGGACAATTCAATACCCAATGATTAGGTCATTGAAGTCCAACGTTCAGGTCCATTAACACACAAAAAATCCTTACCAATCTTTCACTAGGAAAAAATTGACGTGGCACGCCACACGTGCGCTGTGTCAGGCCACGTGTGCGCCACATCAGCAGGTAACCCGCTGACCGGCTGATTACCTGCTAAAAGTCAGTTTTGACGAAAATCATAAAGTACGAGGACTTAATTGACGAAATTATATGTAAGGGTGGTGAATTGACTTTCCGTACATAGTACGAGGGCCAATTTGACACTTTTCTCTTTCTTAAAGTAATAATTATGTGATTAAAATTATTTCTGACTTTCTTACACAAATCACACCAAGTCACAACCACAAGATATTTATATTAATATTACATATACAAGTTAATTACTGCGTATAAGCTTGTACGTGTAGTTTTATGATTTCACGAGATTAGTGGCAGAGGTAGCCAGGAGGCCGGGACTTAAGAAATTTATATGGGAGGGACCAAAACTAAAAATTTCGCTATATTCTTTAGTGTTTAAACCGGACCGTGTCCACTTGCATACAGATATTTATCGGTTGGTCCTACCAAACCCTTTACGACAACGAATAAGATCCGCCTAAGGCGTTATTGGCCGGGTCCGAGTCTATCTCATGGAGCAATTGTTCTTTCTAACTTTTCAGTCTACCAAACAAGAAAGGAAGAAAAGGAGAAAGAGGTGAGGGAGTAATTGCCGGGTTGTTAGACGCCTACGTTGACTTCAAAAAACATTCAAAGAACACGTTTGAATTCCTCCACGTTGCTCACTTGCTGTTAACGTTTATATTTGCCACTTCTTTACGCCTCCAAATTTACGTATCTTTCAAGATCCATTGTGGTTTCCATTTGACATTTTGACTTGTCGTCATTCAAAGGCTAGGTATGGCACTTCCTTTCAAAGATAAGGTAACTTTGTCAAGTTTGATCGACACCGAAATTAATAAAGTAAAAATTGTGTGATTGAGATTTATGTAGAGGAGAGAGAGAATTAACTCAAACCACAAATTTTTTACTTAAATAGAAAAGTGACAAAGTTAGTCGAACATCCAAAAAAGGAAAGTTGGCAAAGTTTTAAGGGATGAAGGAAGTATAAGACTATTATGCTTAAACAGTTAAACGTGTAATAGGTAATACATCCCTTTTTATTTGACTTTCTTTTGACTTTTTCAATAAAAACTACTACATTTCTCTCAAAAAACTTTGTCATTTTCAAAACTTTGATCAACTATATCTTTTTATTGAAAATTATTTATAATATAAAAATTATATGAAAATGTTCTTTGTTAAAAGTACTTTCATAAAAGTATAAAATTTATAATTTCCATAATATTATACTAATCAAAATCAATGTTCAAATTTTTTGAAGTGACAAAGTTTTTTGGGACAGAAGTAGTAATAAACTTTGATCCATTATTTTAATTAATACGTAGTATATTTATGTGAAATTTAATAAATTTATATTTTTATAATAGAATTGTTAACAAAGAACATTTTTTATCATTTTCATATTATCAATATTATGTGTATAAATATATAATCGATCAAACATTAATCTCTTTGACTTTTTTTTGAAGAAAAACAACTTAATTCTCATTAATCAAATCATTGTTCAAAACATGAATAATAAAATTAGGAGTAATTGAAAACCAAGACCGGCAACCAGACATAGAAACGGCAACCAAACATTAATCTCTTTGACTTAAAAAGTCAAATTAGGCTAAATAAAAAGGATGCATGTAGGAAGTAATATATACAGACTACTTTACGAAACCACTTTGAACAATATCAAGTATTCTGTATTTAAGTATATAACGAAAATATATGGACTATTATCAGAGGCAAGTTTATTTTAAAATATACTTTATATGATTGTTTAAGTATTAACTTTTAATTAGTTGAATGACCGTAATTGTAGTTGAAAAGTAGCTTCGTAATTTTCTTGTTCTCAACTGTTATTTAAATTGATTTCGAAATCGGGGCGGACCCAGGAAAGTCATCATTATTAGGTTAGCCAGTTTATCCTTGACCGTTATTATTGTTAGGCCGCACATTAGTTTAATTAAATAATTGATATGGAGCAAAGTGAATTACATGTCACTAAACCAGAGATCAAGTCCACTATCTAACATGTAGTTAATTGAGGATAAAATTGTTTAACCGAATTCCTATTTTGATATGAGTGGTGCGGATCAAGAACAAATCGGCAAAGGAATAGGAAACAATTTTGCCCGCTAGTTATAAATAGCGTAGGTCTATGATTGTAAAGGACAGATTGTACGCATTTCATCTTCTACTTTAGCAAAACAATAACAAAGCTTCACCTCTATTTTAGTTGCCTTTATTTTATTTACTTCTCATATTAAAATATATTTCTTGTACTTAACCCAATACATTTTTCATCTATTTGATTGCCCAAACAATTTGGCGCCGTCTGTGGGAAACGTGCAAGAAAAATCATCATTCATGGAAGATAAAAACTCAACTATAATGGTGGAAGTCCAAAAACAAATGGAGGCGATGAAAGAAGAAATACGACGTGAAGTGGCGGAACAAATGGCTCACCTCCAACGGGAAAATGACGTACTACGATCCCAAGTGCAATCGGCGGTGTCCATAGCCTCTAATTCAAGAAACAATCAAAGGAGCGACGTTATGACCGCCTCCGCTAGGTTGGACCTAGGCTTCACCCGGCTGCAACAGAACCACCTGCCACCACAACGGATCCCATCTCTCTCACGCTAGGCTCATCACCGATCGGTGACCCTCAATCCACGGTAATCTCACAAGTCATACCTTATGAGCCCCTTGTTTCAGAGACGACTCCAGTTCCCAACATCCCCTTCTTTCCGGAGTCATTTGATCAATCAAAGCATACCGACTTGAACTGCCACGTCGGCTCCAACGGGTCCATTCATTCCTCCTTCGGGGACCAATATGTCTGGAGAATCGAGATCGTCTAATCGATTTGTTCCCCTTTCGAATCCTAGATGAAATGTGTTCCACAACCTGTTTGCAGAACTTCAAAGGCAACAAGTTTCAAAACATGTCAACATCTGTAGACATGTCGACATCTCTAGACAGAGACAACAAGAACCTTAAGTCATCGTCATCCCATCTCCAACTAGACATGAGGCAACCCAAGTAGTTACACCACATATCATGACGATGAGACAAATGCAGGCGGATCCGACGGACCCCGTGTCCATGATCTTAGAACAGCTGAAGGAGATGCGAGATAAAATCAATTGCATTCCTGGAGTACCGCCACCATTGGATATTGCTTTGCAGACGTGTTACACAGACTCTCCCTTTGGACGACATATCACTGACGTCGAGATCCCAAGAAAGTTCGATGCCCCATCAATGAAGTTGTTCGATGGAACTTCCGATCCCTTGGAACACATTGCGCAGTACAAGCAGCGGATGTTGGCCATTTCAACCAGGTCAGAGCAACGGGAAGCTTGCATGTGTAGAGCATTCGAGACGACATTAACGGGTCCAACGTTGACATGTTTCGTCAATTTGCCCAACAAAGGAATCAACTCATTTGTAGAGCTTGTCAACTTGTTCAACCAACAATTCACAAGCAGCTAGGTCCTCGAAAAACAGACCAGTGACCTTTACTGGGTAATCCAACGACGGAATGATTCTTTGAGAGATTATTTACACTGATTCAATAAGGAAATGGCGTCGATCGCAAAACATGACGTCTCTACCATCATTGAAGCATTCAAAAGGGGTTTGTATAAAGATTCAGAGTTGTACCACGAACTGATGAAATACCCTTGTCGGTCCTTTGAAGATGTCCAAGCAAAGACGATGGCTTTCACCCGTCTAGAAGAAGACTTACGATCCCGTTGCAGACAAATTGAGCATGAAGGGGCGCACTGGAAATCAGAATCTCCCAAGAGGCATGATTACAATCATGGAAAACCTTATTCGAGACCTGAGGAACGAGTCATCACTTCCGTGATGAGATAGATCAGACGACATGATTGAAGTCGTCGGACGGGGGCATGTAGTCCGATGATAGACAGGTTCTAAAAGATGCAATACGATACCCTTAAAATTGTTTTATTTTTAGTTTATTATTTTCTTTTAATATTGTTGTCACTCCTGTGATGAAATAGACCAGACGACATGATTGAAATCGTCGGAGAGGGGGGCATATCATCTGACAAAAGACAGATTCTAATGACAAATGTATGTTTAGTTTCATATACATATTTTTAATTTATTACTTTACTTTACCTATAAATGATCACTAACTTATGCATCGGAGGGCCGTTGGCTTTTAGCTCACGGCCGATGTTAGCAAATTCTTTTTACGCAGGTACAATCAACAATCGACGATGACAGAATCCTAACATACATCAAACAAAACCTTACAAAAACGTCAAAACACGATTGACGAGGGGCTTACAGAATCTTAGGGGAAGAAGTGGAGTTTTCATGTACGCTAAACATGAGTACAAACACCACCAAATCTCCGCAATGTTTTGGCCAAAACTACATAAATACAAAACAGAAACATGTGCTCCAAAAGCATGACAACAAAAGCTCCAAAATTATACATAAGAACACACTACATTTGACATCGACACGAATGAAGTTGACACGGATGACGTCGACGCGAACCGTAAACATCCATTCTTAAGTTGACGTATTACTCTAAATATACAAATGAAATATTGTTTAAATTTTTTGCAGAATACGGTCACACTCACGGAGCCAAACTCGTCATTTATCTAGTGAGGGAAAAATCACCCTTGCTAATTGAAGTGTCCACATCAACCTGGACGAAGTTTCAACTCGTCAACATTGCCTAGTTATGATCACTAGCACAAATTCGGAGGAAGAAGACAGGAGATCAGCATTCGTTCTTCATCGCTTCAGTCAAAGAGACAGATTCAATCAAAAACTACTTGCAAGAAAAGTGACAGATTGACGGAAGTGCCTTATCTAAAGATTGACGGGTTGACAGAAGCGTCTCGTCATACGAGTGACGGGTTGACGACATGTCTCGTCAAACAGATGACGAGTCTATAAGTGCAATAATCAATGATGACAAGTTTAATTTCTTTCAAAATTTCGAAAAGTTGCTGCTTAACGGATGGATATTGATATGCACTAATTAGTAGTGCGCAAATGTATGTTCTTATGTTTGATTTGTGTGGATTGTTTACCGTTTTATTTAGTTTGTAAACATTTGTGTGATTTTAGTTGTAATTGTATTTTAATCTTCATTTATAAGTTGTAAAGTAGATATTGGAATTATGGTGTTGAAAAGGAGATCTTTGAAGTGAAGAAAAAGGAGATTGGACTGTCCAGGAGCTAAAACCCAACCGGGTATAACACTTGACCCGGTCAGGTACGATTTAACAGACGAAGGTGGCTGGAAATTACACAGACCCGGTCGGGTCCCCTATGCCACCCGGTCGAGTCTGACTTGACCCGAGACATTGTAACGTGCTGAAACACAAGAACGTGGAAGACTATCTGATTTTGACATGCACCCGGTCGGATGGGCACTTGACCCGGTCGGGTACCCGGCCCAAGGTGTTGAAAAACACCAATAAATAGCACACTTTTCCTTCACAAATAATCATCCCTTCTTCCATATTCTTAAGCTCAGTTTAGAATAACATTTCTTTATATTTTTGTGGCTATGTTTAGTCTCCAAATGAGGAGCTAAACTTCCATTTCTTGGTTTTGCTCTTGAAGCTTGTTGATTATTAAAGTTGTGAGTTATTTCTTAACTTCTCTCCTTGAATATTAATTCTTCCCTTAATCTATTTCTATATTAATGTTGAGGAGTGTTGCTAAGATGACAATTAGTCAACATCTCAATATTAATCATTACTAGAAACGATCAACGAACCGATGGTTAATCGTTGATGGTTTCACAAGTATGTAACTTCGATTTATCAATACACGGTCGTGGTTAATAAACTTAAGAGGGATTAATTTTGTTGGTTAAACCGAAACTGTTGTGTTGAGGTTATCAATCTCAATTGATTTCATCAAGGAGTTAGAAAGATTAGATGCTACTATTAAACCGGTATAAGGCGTTGTTCTATATTTGATTAATAGTAAGAGTTATTAATGAACGGTCATTGTTAATAACTACCCTCGATGTGTCACGCCCTGGACCTATCCGGACACGTCAACAATCCGCCGTACAATATGAATAGTCAACTGCAGTCTAACTCATCCATATTATACAAGGCGTCTCGAATATCATTCACACATAAGTCATCCATAAACATACATAATAAGTAATTGAATACGCAGCAGAAATGATAGCTTGAAAACAAGTGCCACACGGGGCAAACACGAGCACGCAGGCTCCATAATGAAATACAATATCCATGAGCATGTTTAAATTGTTTAAAAACAAAACGGAGGAAGCACGAACCAAGTCTTCCCTCCGAGATGATCGCCCCATCAACAAGCACATGTAGCAAGCTCTAGCCTCAACCTCAACCTCGAAAGGGGGTGAGTACTCTATACGGCTATAAAGTACTGGTGTGGATGACATCTAATAGATATACAACAAGTATTTCAAGCACAAGACCCTCAGATAGGGTGATAATATAATCTAGGCCGTAACCCCAAGTTACCCCTTTTCAAAATACTTACTTATATATAAAGTCAAGTAGTCGGCCCGTAGGCCCAAGATTTGTTTACAAAACATAACTCAACCCCGTGACCCCTAGTCACGACAATACATAGGGTCCAACCCTAACACACATGTTTGTATTCCTCGAGTCCAACTTGACTATATCACCATGCACATCATTCACAAGTCAATTACTCCACCAATCTCCGACGTCATGTTCACTCATGCAATTCTAGAGCATCAGGCTCAAGTACATCTCCTTACATGGGCTGAACCAAATCCTTATGTTTACCCAATGCAATTCTAGAGCATCGGGCTCAGGTACATCTCCTTGCATTGACATAGACCACAATTCATAAGCACTCGTTATGCCTAGAATTGTAATATCAATAATCTATTTTGGGACATCCTTACGGACTGCCTCATCATGATCTTAGCATCACATTACATCAATTTAGTCACTTGAACCACAATCAAGTACATCACTTACAATCAAATCCTTAGATTCAATTCCTTAACAATTACAAACAATCATTAACTAGTATTCCAATACTATTAAGATTATTCCCATCAATCACATATTTCATTTGTAAATCCTTACATATTTAGAAATATGTAGCAGTAACTTAATCATTCAATGTAATACATAAATAATCATTTATGTATCCACACAATTCACACATGAGTAAAAATGCCTATTTCACACAATAGTTCATTTAACTCCATTTTTATCAATATGATTCAAATCATTTGCAATTTCATTCCTTATCTATTATATCAATACTTTATCAATAATCAATCATTATAATCCATCAAAAACGTGATTTAGACATTTAGGTAATCTCATGCTTAACCTACAAGTTGTAAGCAACTAGATGTCGATCCTCACCTTAAATGAGCTTTAAATTTCTCCTTCTTGATCCAATGGTCAAAGCTTCGGCCAAGGTGGATTAAGAACTGATTCATTGCTTAAATATGAGTGTTAAGCAGCCTCCTCATGGTGCTAGATCAACCCCTAAACGTCGACACGAAAATAGTCCCTAGAACGGGTGTTTTCCGGCGAATTCGTTCCCTAACCTTTCAAGGTTTTGTCTAGGTTAGTATCTAACCTTTCCAAAAATTAAAGTTACTCTATAATAACATTTTATACTCTTAAACCAGTGTATAATATTTCTTCAATCATTCATAAGATTTAGGCAATAGAAAGGAATGTTTTGGATTCGAACTTACTTTGAATACCAAAAACGTATTCTGCGAGGTTTCGTTGTGTTCGGATGATATGGGGGCCTTAAACTTCTCTGTTTCCTTCAAAACGCACACCTATAGATTCCTCTTTTCGATAGCTTTCAGTGGGAACCTCACACTATTTAATTGGATGAGTAAAACTCCAGATATGAGTCGAATAAGAAGGCCTACGCACCTAGAAAATCCTGCGGCCAGCTCTCCAATTTTCCTCTCTTCTTGAGTTGTGGGGCTCCCCTCTCTTCCTTATCCCTTTGAGTTCGAATGGGGGTGAGGTAGAAGTGTTTATAAGCTCTCAAATGCTTATCCTCACATGTGATTCACAAAAATTATGTAGGGTGTTTGATTCCAATCAAACATGGGATGGTCCTCCTCTTTTATTTCTTTTTTGTATTGTTTGAGCTCTCAACTCAATAGGTCCGCCCCATTTATGTGTTTTAACTTATCCTACCTGTTTTTCAGGTGCTAGGAAGGTGTGGGGAGTACTCTCATGTCCCGTAATTAATTTGGGAGCAAAATATCTACCAATACATCCAAAAGTGGAAAGATGGGTCCTATCATTTTTGTCCTTTGTCATAAGATTTACTTTTGTACTCTCCCCAATTTATTCAGATCAAGTCAACCTTCTACATCATATTATTGGTCTCTAATATGTGTAGGGTGGTCCCAATAATTTATTTGATGTATAATCACAAAAGAAAACCCTACTCCCATTATTTAGCCTAATAATGCCAAAGATGGGAACCATAGGCATTTGTATTCTTCTCCAATCATTACATCACTCAATTATGATATTAATATTTATATATCTGGGCTACCAACCGTGTGGGTAACCCTCCAATGGGTCTAGGACGTCATTCTTGAATATTTACTATTTTTAGCAGGTTAGGCCCAAAATAACATTTGGGCTGTCCGACCGCACTTACATTGTACCGAGGGGTTGCATATCTTTATTTAAGGATGTTGGGCCCCAATATCAATAATATGACCCAATTAATTATTTAGAACTCCATTACTATTATATGAGCCCAAATAATAATATGATTAATCATACGTTCCGTAAAACTTTAATCATTTTACAATTATTCGAAAATAGGGAAATTCAACACATAAGCTTTGAAATTAAATTTGAATTTTCAGGACGTTCGGGTGGGGTGTCACACGATGAATTGGATATACTCCTCGATTGAGTATTCGAGAGGGGATAAGTTATAGATGTAATAAGGATCGACTACATATATTAACAAGTGAAAAGTAGCAAAACCAAGTTCCTTTTATCTTTGAATTAAAACTCATATAAGTCGTTCATCTTAGTTTTTAATTTAATTAAATCATTCAAACCCAAAAACCCCCTTTAATTACTAGTTCATAAAAAGAGAATTATTCATTTCCCTGTGGATACGAACTCTACTACGTTATACTACGTATAAGTGTTAAGTATTGAATTTATTTTGACACACTACGACAAAGTGCCCGTCAAATTTGGCGCTGTTGCTGGGAAAGATTATTATTTTTCTTTTTATTTTATTTCAAAAAATATATATAAAAAAGTTAAAATAAAAAAATTACTTTTCTATTTTCTGAGCTTACATGAGTATATGGATACCAACACATCATCCTTAGAGAGTCAAATTTCCGTTTTGGCTTCTCTCATATATCTTAAGCTCAGAAGCTGAGATGAAAACTTGAAAGGGCAACTAAGCAAAATGAGAGAAACGAGAGAAAGAATATCTTTGCAGGAGATTTGGTAACAATGAAAAAAAGAATTTGATTGGAGATTTGGAGTTGAAGACCCCTCTTTACTGTTATATTTTCGGGGATATTTTTTGTGGTGTTCTAAAAACACACGTGGATGTTGGTGTTGATACTCTTGTCAATTTAAGGACTTCTTGGGCTGGATTTGATTTACTCGAGACGAGTAAAGGTTCATGTGTGGGGGTGTTTGATATGCACTAATTAGTAGTGCATAAATGTATCTTTTTATGTTAGATTTGTGTGGATTGTTTACCATTTTATTTAGTCTGTAAACATTTGTGTGATTTTAGTGTAATGGTATTTTAGTTCTCATTTGTAAGTTGTAAAGTAGAGTTAGGATTTATGGTGTTGGAAATGAAGACTTTGAAGTGAAGAAAAATGATTATTGGCTACCAAGGACAATCACCCGGTCAGGTGGGGTATTGCACCCGGTCGTGTGAGACATTGAAAAGCGAATGTGGCTGGAAACTACAATCACCCGGTCGGGTGAGGTATTACACCCGGTCGGGTCTGACTTGACCCGTGACATTTTAACGTGCCGAAGATCACCAGAAC